GAGTCCAATACTGCATTGCTTCATTATTCAAATCCTGCTGACAGTCTATCTGATGTTTTGATCACTTGTTAATATTTAATTGTTAATTAACTGTTTGATTTAATTCTGACTCTGATTTCATGACTGCAGTATTCACTCCTCATTACCTCATTACCATGATGTAGATCTATTTTAGTTTGCTTGTTTATTCATTAGCAAGAAATGTCCCAGAAAGTCCACAGGACTTATTTTTTTCTTTCAGAATCACAACCAGTCCCTAAGGCTAAATACATTGCAGATGAGCTCAGATATTAAGGAATTTCCTTAATACTTACCTACATCCCATTCAACAGCAGCTCAGTAGGTATGACAATAGACTGACTCTGCCTTCCTGATGGCCATTGATGGCTTACCAGGCTCTTTGCTCAGATGCAGTTTCCAGCTGGGGCCCAACTTGCCTTTTATCCTTCTCCAGACTTTCAGTAACTTCAAGAAGTACTTTGGTATGTTTGGGCATCTCAGCCTTGCTGTTTTGTTTCCCAGGGTATAAGGAGAGTCAGGGACTTAGCTGAGAGCTGCAACTCTTACATTTCCTCCCTGCTGTACGTGTCTCATGGTGTCTCCTTGAACCTGGGGCTCCTCATTGTGCTCTCCATGGAGAGCACACAGCTCAGTGGAGTCTGCCAGAGCTCCAGTAGGTTACAGAAAATAGCAAAGTCTTGTAGGTAAGCTCTTTGCTGAGTTGATTTCATCCCTTACAAATAGATATTGATTTCCCATTTTGATATATGCAAGTGAGAGAGAGAATAAAACAATGGCATCTGCAGTGGTTGTCCTCCTGCATGCAATATTTTGTCCTCTCACTACCTCACTCAGCCTTGTACATAAAGGCTCTTAATAACTCTGGCTCTAATCAGGAGTCGGTCTTACTGTGACCTTGTGAACTAGACCATCTTCTACTGCAGCTGCATGAATATTTTTTCAAAATATGGACTTCCCTCTTTTTCACACACTTAGTAACTGATTTTTGTGTGAATTCAGTAGATCTGAACAATTATTTTCAGCAGATATGAATGTTACCTCAGAATTCTGTTTTTTTTATATATGAGAACAGTTGTGAGATATAATAAATGGGTTTGTCTTTGAGTGTTGTGTTTCTCTAACCCATGTCCAAGTTTTGCCCCAAAAGGTGCTTTACCAGGTGACCTGCTCTGTCTCCTGTGAGGGAAATCACTGCTCTCCTTCAAGGACACAGAAAAGGCAGCAACACAAACAGGAGCAGCCCTTGGGGTAGTGGCATCTGATTTTGGAGGCTGTTCAGACCTTTGCTGGCAGCTGCAGACCCCAGACCCCAGTGTACCCCTACAGCAACAGCTTTTTGACAGCCATAGACTCTATCCGCAGTTTATACACACCTACTTATAGTCATTTTATAAACTTTCCAAGCAAGAAAAGTAAAATTCCACCAAAAAAGCAAGGTTTTCTCTCTCAACTGGGGTTGGACCCCCACAGTTTGCTCATCTGCCTCTGTCAGATATTGTGGACATACGATTAATGACCGAATTACTCTGTCCAAGCACTGTTACAGGGAGCAGAGGACAATCTTCTTCCATAGCTCTTGGGTCCCTGCTATAAGATGCCTTTGAACGAGAAAGGAATGAGCCAGACTTGTGCCATCTAGTGACCCGAAGAGAGCGAGCATCTGTCCCTGGCTGTATCCTCCCTCCCTCCACAAAAGCCTTTAGCCCATAATCCAGAGTCTTCAGACGACAATAAAAAAACAGATTAATGATCATTTCTATTATTTTCACATCTTTCATGTGCAAACTCTCCTTGGCAGCCCCGACTGACTCCCTGAGTCACCTGCCTCTGGTTTGGCTCTGTTTTGTCTGAGAGCCAGTTCATGAGTTTATTATTCAGATCTGGATGTGTGGAGGTGAAAGTCCAGCTATGCACCTCTGCACATTCTCTTTGTCTTTTGCTTCCAGATGGTCAGCAAACAATTAGCTCCTCTGCAGTGCTTCCATTTCCCCTCTCAAGGCTTACCGACAGAAAGTTCTCCCAGAAACACATCTGCTTTCTAGTGTTTTCTGAGTTTTTCTAGGGCAGTTTCCAATTTCTTCTCAAATTCTGCAGGAAGCAGAAGTCGAAGGATGAGTGGCAGCCAGAGGGTCACAGCAGAACAAGTGCTCTTCCAAAGCAGATCCAGTTCCTAAGGTGATGAATTATAAAGAAATGGTTCACCTTTCCTTATAACTCTGGAACCATCAGCCAAATTGCATAAATTGTCCTCGTTCTGTAAGCTGAGTGCTTACAGAAGCATAAGAAATCAGGCAAAACCTCTGCTTTTGTAAGAATGGCAACACAAGTCTGGAGAAACTTTGTCCATTCTGCTGGAGCACCTGGGAGAAGCAGCTTTTGTGGTCAACCTTAGGTCAAAGGGGCCACCCCAAATACATTGGCAGAAGGAAGGGATCCATCACTTTCTCCAAGGACCAGGGCAGTGCCCACTGAGCCCCCTCTCAGGGTACTCTCCTTCCCCGCCCCAAGCCAGCAGCAAGGGGCAGTTTATGCCCCTCTCAAGCAGTCCTGCATAAAGTCTTCTTGCAGGAAGCACCCATGGCTGCTGTCGTGTTGCACAAGTACCACAGCACACAGGTTCTCTCACGGTGGTGACTCCAGCTGGAGCCGAAATTTGTTACAGCCACTGGCTTGCTTTACTATAAAGCACTTGACACAATTTTGATGGAGTAGTTTTATTCCTCTTGTGAATAATTTTATTCCTTTTTTGAATAATTAAAGCTCCCCAAACATGAAGCTGAATGCACATGAGTAGCCCAGAAACACAAGCCTGTTCCCATGAATGTTCCCGCAACAGCAGTAGCCTCCTGGGAGAGCTGCCGAAAGTCTCGCTTGCCCTCTGTTGGGTGACTGGGGAAGGATTTGCTGCCTCGGTAATGAGTGCCACTTCCAGGACCTTGGGAACGAGGGATGCAGAGTGATGGAAGCATTAAAACCAGAGCAGTCCTTGCTTGATAACCTCTCCAGCCATTTGATTAGAAGGTGACATTCAATAAAATTAAAAGCCCTCATTTACTTAGAGCCAAGCGATTAATAAGCAGGAGGTGGTGATGTTTTATGCAGCGTATAATGCAGACAACCTGTGGAGCTCCCTTCCACAAAGGGGGCACCACAGCAAAGGCAGCGTGGAGGTGGGAAGGAAGTGATGGCTGATTTAATGCCCAATAGAAGGCTACGCAAGCTGAAATGACAAACATAATCAAATCTCACGCTTCAGGGCATAAATTGAAGGGGCTGAGTAGGGGAAGCAGTTATGTATATAAAAGGTCTGATTCTGAGAGGTGCTGATTACCCACAACTCAAGTTCAGACGGAGAAAGGACACTCAGGAATTGTTCGGCTTCTCCACTGGCTGAGTCTGTACTTGCTAATTTTCCTTATTAATAAACCCTGCAATATTTTAGCCTGCTGGCACAAACATTCATTCTGCTACAGTAACATTTATTTCCTTTCACACAAAAGTCAAACATTAAAGCTGCTTCTAAAATAAGATTTTATGGAGATAATTTGTGGTGGTGCTGGCAGAGAATTTGTCTCTCAATATATATTATAATTCTTTATCTAGTGCAGGTATTTATATAGCCTCATTATGACAATATGTGAGCACTTCATAACCTTTAGTAGATTTATCTTCCCAGTTTCCTTCCTGAGCAAGGGAACTGGTACTAACCCCACTCTACAGGTGAGGAGCTGCTCTATGAAGCAGGCTGTGGACTCCCATTAATCTTTTGGGGTAACTAGGGTGGACCCAGCTGCCCACTCTGACTGTGAGCTCATGGCTCCCCAAGCATGCAATGCACAGTACTAAGTGTGACATTTACTGTCTGCACCAAGGAGGAGGCTGATTGCAACCCCCAGTCCTTGCCATTGAGAGAGTAGAGGCAGAGAGGTCAGGTAGGCTGAACCCAGCCTTCAGTGACCTGCCCATGACAAACAAAAGAAATCTTCGCTCTCATCTGGAATCCAGCTAAGGGGGATATTTGGCATCTTTCCTCTGCAGTTTGAGAAATAAGCAGGCTAATACCTCCTAGGAATTGCTTAGGTACAGCTGATCCTGCTTGTGTACACGGCAGTCTTCTTGAAATCTCTTCCATCCTGTCTGCAGTGGTCATCTTGAAGAAAATTACATCCTTTCTCTTAAAGGAATTCTGTAGCTAAGCTTTAAACACTTAACCCCATAATTCAAGTCTGTGGGGAACTGCTCTGTGGGTCCTGAGCCATTCAAGCTCTCAAGCCTGCAATTCTGGGGCAAGTGCAGCTGGGGATAGTCACCATGAAATTAAGAACTCAAATGAGCAAACTCCCCTTTTTCGATGCTTTGTAACCAGCTCTTGCCATTGTTACTCCCACCCTAATCCCCTTCTCTTCCTTTCCCTCCCCAGCCATGAATTTGTTGCCTTTTGCACTAAACAAATCTGATATGCCGTGCTAAATATTTTAAATGTGGCAAATGATCCTTCATCACAGAGTGGCATGATTGCATTACAATGTATTAGAACAACATGACTTTGCCAGAGGGTGTTTGTTGGCACTGTGCCGACTAAAGGAGGCAGCCCAAGTTTGAGAAGTAACTATCAAGTAATTTATAAACATTTGTTCCTAAAACACACGGGGTTGCACCAGCTTGAGCAGCCTTAGAGGGATAAATCTGGAAGCTGAGGCAGAAACCCCCAAAACAGACAGAAGCTCCTTTGAGGAAGCTTCTTGAAATCCAGAGCCCTATCAAAATGTCAGGCTGAGCTCCTGTGACAGATTCAACACATGCTTTTGGCATTTATTCTGTTCCATTTTGTCTCCTCTTTTAGGTGCAGGTGAAATACATGTTGCTTTTCAGTCTCTTGGCCAACCTGTGGAAAGGGCTGATTTGATCTCACATTGGTGTGGCACAATGGAGGATTTCCGACGAACCAAGTAGAACTGCAGAAAGTGAACAAGTGGCATCTAGAACTTGTTTTCCTTCATAATATCCTCATAGGATGGAGGCAACTCATCTCCTTCAATGCTGAACTGTGGGGCAGGAGAAGAAATCTCTGCGGCCATGCAGGGGCTTAGAGATCCAGAGAACGAGCACTGAGGTGCTTCACTTGCTGGAAAAAAGCAAAGCTGTAACTACACAGCAGACAGGCATGAAGAACAAGCATGAGGGTGAGAGATACAGGCCTGGGAGGAGCTGCTAAACCATTTGGAAACAAGAGAGGCGTGGGTGTAATTCTTGAAGCATGACATCATCACAAAGCCTCTCACTACAAACTCCAGATACAAGAAGCGAGACCAGAGGAATCTGAGCGGATCTGAGGTAGGTCCTCCTTGTGCAGACACTGTCTACAGCCACCCAGAAAGCAGGCAGTACCTCCTCTGGTAAGGTCTTAGTCTAACAACAGAATTAGCCGTATTCCTCTTGGAGGGACCACTGTCTGTCTCAGCCAGCTGATGCTACTGACAATACTCAGGTCAGTGCTGAGTGCTACACATAGTCATTATAGCCCAGTCCTCAAGTGTCTGGGAATGCTGAGTGTGGCTACCATGAACATCACCCACCCACCCATCTTTTTGACAGACCCCAGGGTGTCAAGCTGCCTGCTGGGGTTGCTCAAGTTGACTGGTACAATCTTCCCTGAGTGAGAAATTCAGGTCATGTGTTGGAAAGGGTTGCCTGACCCTAGGTAGTGTCTATGGCTGCCTATGTCATGCTACTGAGTGCCCCAGCATCTAGGAGAAGGTCCCCCACGCTTCCAGTGTCTAGCTGCGCCCCATCTAGTCACTTTTGGGACACATAGGGAGAGCACTGAGTTCAGCTGGAGGCATGACTGAGGGAAAGTGGAAGTGGCTTGCTTAAACCTTCCAGTCCACAGTCCAAATATTCCCCCAGGATGCCTGATCTGGGCTCTCCCTCATTCACCAGAAACACAGCACCCAGCTGCAGCCCAGCTCCCACTCAAGCCTGGCCACCTCTTACTGGGCTACAGATAGGCCACAGAAAGCCTGCTGGGGCCAGTGTGACCTCACAGGACATGGGGAGAGGACTGACCACAAAAGGCATCGGAGGTGCTGAGCGCGAAGACGGCCAGGGTGCGTCGGCAGCTCCGCCGTCCCAGCCAGCACTGCAGGCAGCAGCAGATCCCGCAGGACAGGAGCAAGGCCAGGAAAAACAACATCAGGAACCTGAGGTAGAGGCAGCAAGGGAGGAACGGCACCATCACCATCTGCAGGCAGCACTGGCAGATGGCTGCATGTCTTCAAATTAACATATTCATTAACATCTTTTGGAAAGAGCTGTAAAATGTTGTGGTTTCCCCAGCAGCGTACTGGACATAATCAAAGTCCCTGGAAACCAATGTCTCAGTGATGAGGGCTGGCTAGAAATTCAAACATTTCTCCCTGAAATCATTCACTGGTTTTCCCTGGCTCAATTGTCAGTGTACAGTGAGGACGATATGGATAAATGATTCCCATTAGTCAGTAAAGACAGAACACAGGGACACCCCAGGAGTAATGCTCTCTAGCTATCAGTCTCTCTTAATGCCTTTCTCTCCATATATCTGTCAAAGAATATTATTTGCCAGTTTTTACCTCTAAAACAGATCTGAAACTTACCACACATACCAGCTGCTAAAGTTTTCATCACCCTGTCCGAAGCACCTAATGAGGGAAAAATAAAGGGAACTTTCAGTCCAGCGTGAGGAGATTGTACCAGCCCCGATGCAGGTCTACAAACACAAAGAAAAGCATCATTGGTAAGCAGAGGACTGAGAAGTTTTCCTCCATCAAAAGAACCCCATCAAAAGTTTCTCTGTGTAGGCGGGAGCAGATACAGATGATGTACAAAGCAGCGTGCAACTGGTTTGCCTTTCAACACCAGCATCCACCACCAGTATTTTTGCTGAGAAGCTAAAAGGTTGCCAGCCCCCCTTTCCTCTTCTGGAAGCAAAATAGGCCTTCCCTGGAAGCCCAAGGTGGGAAAAGGGGGAGCCACACTCACCTCTCGCCGAGCTCACAGTCTGACTCAGAGGCTGCTAGCTGAAAACACACACGTAAATCAGAGAGGGAAAAATATCTGGTTTTTTGTTGTTGGTGGTTTTTTTTTTTTTTTTTTTTTTTCTGTAATTTACCAGTATAATTACTGATCTTAGAGTGGGGAGTTGGAGAGGAAGAGCCCTAAAGGGTGCTGGCTCCTGAAGGGATGAAAACCAGACCTCTCCCTGGAAACCACAGGGCTGAGCTCTCACCTCTGTACATCTCTGGTCTGAGTTAGCCCATACCAAAATTAGTGGATAACCTTGCAGAGAGCTCAGTAAATTCAACAGCTTGCAGGTGAAAGCTACACCAAGGGGAAAGCATTTCTTTTGATGTGAAAGGGAAAGACAAGAAGAGGGAAACACAGGCAAGCATCAGAGACCTGTTTACAGAACTGGGCTTCGCTACTCAGAAATGTCTGCTGAAGATGTACCATGACCAAATTCTTGCTCTTTAGCTTGTTTTCCAGTAGGTAATTGTGAATGCAGCTCTAAATTGGACTGTTTTGACCAGATGAGTGCTTTACCCAGCACTTCCCTGTTTTTGGATAATAGTGGTGCATCATTCCCAGAGTCAGGTTTCAGATATTGCAAATATGTGAACCTGAAACTTGTTTTTCAGGTATGCTTTCTACTTTCTGCTCAAGCAAGCTTATTTTTGCAAGCCTTGTTGATCTTAGCCTCCATTTGAGGTTTTCTGGGCAAAAAGTAACTGGAGTGGTTCAGCATTATGATTCAATCAAATTCAAGACAATTTTTGCCTGATTCACATAGGTGTGTTATAACACTTGCACAACTTCACTATAAAACAAACCTTCAGAATATAGAATTGCAATAACACTGGGAAACAGAACGAGCGAGATGGAAGGATTTAGATTTCTTTCTTGGAGAAAACAATGAGAATGTAATTTGTAAATCATTACTTTACTTGAATTTCCTTCTGTGTATATCCAAAACACACAGAGATTTCTCACTTTCTCTGAGCCAAACTGGAGAGCTCTGTTCTGTATTAGAAATTTGTATCAAATATGTATAACTGAGAGATCTCATATTACCTCCCTAATTAACAGGACTTCTTTGGAAGGATTTTGTTGTGCAAAGCTTGTGTCACTGTAAACTGTAAGAAATCACTCCACAAATCTCTATAACGCGTCTGATCCTGTGCACACACTGCCTTCTGGTACCTAGTTTCACAAGAGGTCTTTAGGTATAGTAAGTCTTTCCTACAAAACATTCTCTATGAAATCTCATGAGCTGTTGAAGCCCAGACGAGGAACAGAGAAAAAGACAGAAGCTTCCACACTTCCAGACATGTCCTTTTAAAACTGAGCTAATTTACTATGTCACACACCCTGCTGAAGAATATTTTAATTTTTTTTTTTTGGTACTTCAACCTATTATTAGAATAACAGGTCAAAAACAGACAGCTGATTGCTGTGATTACATGTACCCTGAGCATTCTTCATGGCTGAATGACAACCTTTGGACTCTTTTTTATCATCCTTCAAACTACCTCGGCAGACCTACCTTAGCATAGTTTAACTGCAGCACAGTGCATCTGCTCTGAGGCAATAATCTATCAATGCAGCCAAACACTCGCCTGTGCTGCTCAAGCCCCACACACTTTCATTTCAATAACCATACACAGAAGAAAGGATTAAGACAACCATGCTTCCTCGGCATTAACTGGAATTGTTGCGAACGTTAAATCCTCCCCAAATTCATCAAGTCCTCAAAAAATTCTTTAAAAATAAGAAAAGTTCTATAAAAGTTGAAATCTTCCCCCCACAAAATCCCTAAAATCAACCTAGTCCCAGTGAAGAGTTTGGTTACCTGGAAGGTTAAACACAGAACTCCAATTCCTGTGATCCATGAAGCAAAACACAAAGCTCCAGGTCTCAGCATCACTAGCAGGAGAAACATGGGAAAAGCTTTGTTTTACCTTCTGTAATTTGGAGCTTTTAAAACTTCCCTGCACATTGTGCCTTCAGCCAGAGAACATGTCAGCCAATGGCTTCCCATGCTTCAGAAATTACTGTTAGCCAGGAACAAATTTGGGTGTGCATGGACACACTCAAATGGCTGCTAGAAGTTAAAGGAACACTAGTTTAAGGTCAGCACCTTGCAGTTGTTTCAGTATTTTCATAGCTGTTCACAGATTCCTATTGCTGAAGCTTAGTTCCATATTAACCCACGTCTGTATTGAACAAGACCTACTACAAATAAAGACTCAGTGTGAGGCCATGCTTTCGTTACGTGCTGCCTTTCTGCCATTAAAGAAAAAACAGAGGTGCCTCCAACCATCTCCTACGCACTGTGTGTACTACCTCAAACGTGTACCAAAGATGAAGGACACTCTTCCCAGCCTGAGATAACCACCACTGGCACCTCTGCTGCTGTTACATAGCTGCCAGGGGTTGGTTTGCTAGGAAAATACATCAAAAATCCCCACACATCCCAAATAGTCCTCATAAGGGATACAAAAAGTCATTGCACAAGATAAGGACCAGTTTTATCCGAATGGATCCATCCAGCTAACGTAGTCAAACGAGAGGAAAATGGTTTGTGCTGTAGCTCTGATTAGTGGATAACCTTGCAGAGAGCTCAGTAAATTCAACAGCTTGCAGGTGAAAGCTACACCAAGGGGAAAGCATTTCTTTTGATGTGAAAGGGAAAGACAAGAAGAGGGAAACACAGGCAAGCATCAGAGACCTGTTTACAGAACTGGGCTTCGCTACTCAGAAATGCAGAACAGACAACCCCAGGTTGTTTGGTGGCCAGTAATGGGTTGTCACTGAAGTTTACAGCCTGTGGCTGAAATGCACCATTAACTATGCTTCTTCCAGATTTAACACAAAGGGTGTTGCCATGAATATGTTTAGCTGTCACTCCAGAAGTTAAGCATTATGTTGGGATGCCATTACTTCAGTAATGATTGACAAAGCTAAGCTGCTCTTGAGATCTACTTCTGTGGCTTTGCTTCAGCTAAAAGGTCAAGAAGTCTAACCAACTCTGGTACACACACTCAGGTCAGGTTTGTTATTTATTATTAAAGTTTTGCATAAAGCCAGTCCAAACTCTAATGTTCTCAAATGTTTACTTTCAGCTCACTACTAATTGAGGGTAAGCATCTGAAACAAGGCCCTCAGAGAAAGCATCTCTCATAGTGCTAAGTGCACATGTGAAATGCTGGGGTTTGAACCC